CATTTAACGTTGTTCAAACATTATCCACGTAGATCGATTATAGATCTGAAGTTATTATTATTATTAACTAGGCTTAACCCCTCATCACGTAAAATCAATTAATCTAACCAAAGGTTTATAATTAGTCGTTTATATTTTTTGGTCAAACAACATGTTCGAATATCCACTTCATAGATTATTCTATAGCACAAGGTGCAAGCATTCTTAGTCACTTGATATGTATTACAATACTAGAAAATTTGCAAATCTTGAAATTGGCTTTACAAGTTGACTTAAATTTTGAAATTTTAATTCGGCAGAATACCCTAATAGACACTCGTGCTTGTTCCCATTTGACATACCGGTCCCCTTACTCTATAAAGTTTCAAGTGGAAACTTGAACTTGATTAAATATATTATTTTAAACCCCTTCGACCGTTGACCAAACTTATGTGGCATTGACTAAATTGAGCTGGACAATATGCGTGTAATGCACACGAATGAAGAGAGTGAGCACTGGTAATTTTGATTTAAAAGATTAAGATAAGGAAAAAATAAAAATAAAAAGCAGAAATTAAAGTAAAAAAGAGAGAAGAAAAATAAAAAAAAGGGTTGAAGAGTGTCCTTCTTCCTCCTCCCTCGTTAGTGTTGTCCATTCCCCCATCCCTCACTTCTCTTCTTCTTCCCCTCCATTTTTCTCTTCATTTTCTTCTTTCTCTTTCCATTCTTCCTGTGGGTTTCAAATGAAACTTATGAAGATTTATTGATTCTCTATTTAAGCTACTTAGAAGTGTGGGATTTGACTTTTGTACCGGAAGAAATAAATGCTTTCGGTCAAGTATTTTCATTCTCCGATTTGGAGCTTTTTTGCTGGTATTTCCTGTGGGTATTTCGAGCTTGGTAGTATTACAATTTGGGTGTTCTTCAAACTTTCTATTCGATTGATTGACTTTCTGAAAAAGAAAAAAAAAGAATTTTACGAAAAAGTAGTCTAATTTACATGCGAATGTGATTATGACTTTCTTCTCCTTATTCCCCTTTACTTTCAATCACATGGTACGTCACAATTTTCTTAAAGTTGTAAGAACCATGCTTTGTAAATAAAGAATCCAACTTTCTTCGAATTGGGTAAAGATTCTTGATGAATCTCGTTTAATTTTGCTGTAATTTTCAAGTTTGCATTGGAACCTCTATGGGATAGTGAATGAAAAAGGGTATCGTCATGATCTTATTGGTAATATTCATTGAATAGATATTCAAATTTTCTTCAAATTGAGTAAAGATATTTGATGGGTCTTGTTTATTTATCTATAATTTTGAAGTAAATATGTAACGGAACTCTCCGCCAATGGTGTGACCGTAGAAGGGTGCTTTTCGTGAAGGAAAAATGAAGTAGATAAAGGAGTAAATCATGAAAAGAAATTAGATAATTTTTAAATAACGTGAAAAAAGTAAATTGTTATTTATCATAAAAAATCTGATGGGGACACTGATGTATCATCCACATCAAGCAAGTGAACCCCACACAACCGTGGAGATGTTTAGAATATCATATTTGAACTAGTTCGTTATCTAGAGTAAGGGGACCGGGATGTCAAATGGGAACAACTACGGGTGTCTCTTAAGATATTCTGCCTTTTGATCCCGTATCCTACAAATCTATGGCAAAATCACAAGATATATAATAAGATGTTAAGATTTTGTGACGCAAATTCCAGAGGTTTGAATACCACCAATTACACAATCACTCCATAAGTGTGACGGAGAAAGAATTTCTTTAAAAAACCCAAATACGAATCCAAACTAAAGTTTCTGGTTAAACTCGTATAGTTAAACAAACAAATTTGAGTCATTAGATTATTATTAATTGGACACGTGTCAGCATCTTAAGGATAAAATTAAAGAAATGGATAGATCATGTAATGGTACGCAGTCACCGTTCTAACCGGCGACCTATTGAAGAACTAAAAAAACAATAAAATGCAGGTCGTTTTTGCAACAGGCGACGTAGTTATATAGTTTCAGACTTCAGTTTGGACGGGACTCCAGTAGTAGCTCACAGTTAACAAATTATTACGAAACCATACATTTTTAAATTCGAAATCATATTCTAGATCTTAATTTTTACTTAGTAATTAACGTTTGGTAATTATATTTCTAGTGCTTAATTATTGCTTAGTAATTAATGTTTGATATGCACTTATATTTCTACTGCTTAATTATTTCAAGTATTTAAAGAAAATTAGTGAGACTATTCAGGATGAAGATAAAGTTTTATAAAATAATTATGCGAGAATATTGTTCAATATCTTGTTTTAGATTCTTTTAGCTTTGTGTTATAAACATTGAGATCTATGTTTTTTAACATAAGAGTTGTTTATAGTCATCACCTTTCTCAATAGGTTAATGCCAACATTTCCTTTTGATTTGAAGTATACACTATCACCCTAAATAGGATATTTATTAATTAATTAAGATATACATATAAACATCTTACATATGTATAAATTTATTCTTTAGTATTTTATTTACTTTGGCATTAGTATATGTCAATAAAAGAAGGAAAAAGATTTACCCGCGCTCGATAGTTACACCATAAGGCATAATGAATACAAGATTCGTGTTTTTCATATATACATGGTCAAATGATCTGTATTTTTATTTAACTTTTAATCAGTAAAATTAATTATTTAATTTGATATAAATATAAAATGCAAGGTAATAATCATTCTTGCCCACCTATGGCAAGGTGCATAAAAAGAGTGGGTGAAAACTACAAATATGCCAAAATAAAAGGGCTTGAAGCGCAATTCCCTTCAAATATATAGACCTTTTTATAGGCTCCGCCGCTCCTGGGAATTAATAACAAGCGCCTTTACACTGTCGCATCCGCCGACCCAATCTTCCTCTTCGCCGGCGGCGGAAAACAGTAGGCCATTAATTTTCCGATCTGTTAAAGGCAGAGTATAGTCTGTTATGTTTCTCTCTAATCTCTTCTGTTTTTTTGTCTTTCATCATTTTTTTGTTTCTCTGTGGTGCATTTGAATGGGGGTTGGGAAGATGGGGTTTGGTTTTAGGGGATTTTAATTTATTTTTAATTTCAAAGACACATTTGAGATAAACTCAAAAGAAAGAAAATCGATATTGATATGTGTTCCTTTTCCGAATTAACTTTCTGAGCAATTATCTAAAATTCGGATGTAGTTAACTTCCTCATCTTTTCAAACTCCGAAAATACTGTAGGAGAGTTTTTACAAAATTACTGAACTAAGATGTTCTAAAACAATGGTAGTATATGATTTCTGTTTTCGTGTGTGGATTTATTTTTTCCCATGGAGTTAATAAATTTTGTATCCCACTGATGAATCATTTAGTAATCTGAAATGTTACATCAATTAATTGGTGCTCCCTTTTAGAAAAAAAGGTTGAGGAACCATGTCATTTGCTATGTGGATACTAGGCATTCTGAGGGATACACATTTTTCATCCAATCTAATGGGAATATAGTTGGTTATTTGTTAATATGGAAGACTATTGGCAACCAAATATTTTAGATTGAAATTTTTTTCTGAAATTCTCTCTTCCAGTGCAAAAATGGAAAATTTTCAGAAAATATTGTTACTCAAGTGTCAATTTGTGCAAAGCTTAAAAATAGATATTATGTTTTAGGAGGAAACTACGCATCCATTTTCACATATTTAGACTGGTAGTGGTATTCACTTGTTAATTTGAAGGAGACTAGTTTCATTTCAATATGTGATCTTGCGAATACTATACGTGTATTTTCAAATGCTAAAGAGATTATGTGCCACAAAATCGAAATGGAGGGCGGTAATTCGGTATTTAACTCTTCGCATAAATGGCAATTTAAATTTGTTTGGGAAACTTTATTTCAACAACAATAACTACGTCTCTAGGGTTGACAATATGAATACTTGATATTTTCATTTAGCTCAACTCATATTATCATCATTAGCTAAATAAAATGAACATGCAAGTAAAAAAAGATAAATACATATAAATGATAGTACTACTACTGATAATAATAAATAAATAAAATTCTATCAAGTCTAAAACTTATTTTCAATTAGTAAGTATGACCTATATAGATTTTTCTCCTTCCATTGTGCGTTAGTCTGCACTGATTTTAATGTAGTAGGTCTTTTGAGACAACTTACTCCCGTGTGATTTTAGATTTACGGTGTCATTAATAGCTTCTCCCACCATAATTTTGCACCTATGACCGGTGCATCTGTAGGTCGACTCAGGATATAAACAAACTATCTCAAATGGCATTCTCTCATTTTATCTTCAACGTGTGCTATTTGAAACTTGTGACGAATGTGCTCATTTCTAATCTTATCTACCAAACATTCATTATCATATAATATAGTTGATCTTATAACTGTTCGAATTATCTTTCACCTTGGGAAATTTTATTCCAGGGCATAGAAAACAGTTTACTATCCCATCAAATGGATCTTCAATTACTCCCGCACCCTTGCTTATTGAAGAGAAGATTTCATTATATCATGTATAGCAATGATTTGCGAATGTAACTTGTACGCATCACGACTAGCCAACCAAATACTTTGTTATCTCCTAACTGCCCTCACTTAAGATAATTATGCTACACAAGTGGATAAAGGATCACCTAACCACCCACTAAACACTTGTTACCTCTCATCAGCGCACGTTTAAGATAATTCTGTCTATAAAGACTTACACAAGTGAGAAAAAAATCACCTAATAGTTTTTCGCATCTGCTGAAATTTGAGAAACCTTCTTACCTTCATACGTTTCAAAATCTTTCGGAATATCATTGTGAAGCAGGAGAAAGTTCATGCCTTTCAGGAAACTTATCTCCAGCTCTCAGGTATCCTTTTAAGTTCTTTAAAACATTTCCCATCTTTTAAAAGGTAAATTAAGTACATATAATTACACTTGTTTGACAAGAAAATATGACCAACCATTTGCTTTTGGGTGAATTAAAGGGCACAATTATTAAATGGTTGAAAAAGTGTTTCAAAGGGTCGAGAGGATTGCAAATCCTCATTGGAATATCAAGCAAACAGCACAAAAGCAACAACTTCATAGTATGTCAACGTACAAACAAACCCACCCAACAAATAGCCACACATTCAAGATGCTGCAGTAATTTGTAGTATCAGATTTTCCAAACTGCTTCTAATCCTACAGTCTGACATATATTTTTCTTTATTTACATAAAGGGTGAGGGGAAAGATAAATAAATGGCGAAATTGTAACATATCATACTCGCCACATAAGCTTTCTTCCCCATCGTGTCATCAAGTACAAGTAACCAAGCCAAGAATGAATTGCCTGAGCATATAGCCATACCACAGTGAAGTTACCTCGCATGTCAGTGGGTGTCGGTGCAGCTAAACTTAAAAGCACAAACGATGCAAGAAATGGAACCATGGCACGAGCAAATGCTGGGCTAACCCCTCCATCACTGGAGAGTAGCGTCTTAATTGTTGGATGCTGCCCCACGAGAAGCCTGGCTGACAAGCAGGCTCCAACTTCCATGACTATAATGGCCATTCTGTTGCTCATTTCCAGCGTACTGGGAAAAATACACAGATGAACCATGGCCATTGCCAGTTGAGAAACTTCTCTGTCCTTTATGCATGTCTTGAACTGTGGATCCTTCCTTTTCCCGTTGATCAGAACTACCAGAACCTGACGAGTTGCCAGAGTGAGTTGGAATAGTCGCTCCATATTTTTTGGCCTCGTCTGTTATACAGTCCATGTCATTGAGCTTTTTAGTATTCAGGAAACGGCCCCCAGTTCCCCTTGCCCTTCTCATAGCGTGTTGATGCCGAGATTCGTGCAAATATGGCTAACAAATAAAAACAGACCAATGTCAGTGTTATCAAAAAGCCTCTCAGAAACCAGTGACTACATAATGTAGGCACTAAACGCGTATGGAATCATTGATCTAATGTTATTCTCAACATAAATATAAAAGAGAAGTGCCTATAAAGCCACCTTTTGTTCATCATCACAAGGACTTTCACCTGTATAAGTTATTTCTGACACGATTAAGAGTGTTGGTTGGCTAGCGGTTCTTGACAAGCACACTTTTATCTGGACTTCGGACCAGCAATGTCAGCTTTAGACCTACGATCTCTTAAACTCCACGTGAATTTAGCGAAGAGTTCATACAAAATTTGTTTTATACTCAAAGAAAAGAACACAATGAAAACAAAAGATCTATATCCAATCGGTTGGTATAATGACTGAGTCGTCCTGCGACACTTGCATTAGGACCAGGGTTTGCTTGGAATCTTCTTACTTTGTCTACAGATTTGTATGCTGGGGTCAGTAGAGAACCTCCAGTGTTTTGAAAATAAAAGAAAACCTTGATTTGTCTTGTAATAGTAAGGGTCTAAATAAAGCGAAATGGACACTAACGATTCATATAGCAAACCCTAACTGATTGACGATTGAGGCGTAGAAGTTGCTACTGTTATTAATGACCCATTTCAAACTTTACTTTCCTAAGAGAGTCTCATCTTCTAAGCATTAGACTGCATTACAACTGTGTTAGCATTAAATCTTCATTTTTTTCAAAGGACTGTGGAACGATACTAGTTAACTAAGCCAATTATGAAGCAATATTGGGCATGTCTTCCGATTATAACTTCATATATTTACTAACACCAAAAACCTGAAAATTCAAGTGACATGAAGAATATGTCCAAAATAAGACGATTTAGGGCTGCTCCCCTTGGAGAAAAAAAAAACATATCTAGGACAGAAAGTGCTTCCCAATATGATTATACCTTTCTCGCTTTAATAGCTTTCTTTTCCAGCTCTGCTTTAGCTCTTATCTGTCTTCGCCTTAAAATTCCATGGTACTGTTTTGCATTCACGAAGACAGGTTCCTCTTCCATGTCAAGAGGCAAAGGCATTCGAGCATGATGAATTTCAAATAAGTGAGGATGTACCTGACAACAAACCACATTGTTATGTAATGTTTTGCTTTACCTATAATTTGCCTTCAAAGCAAAAGCATTTCAAACACAGCTGCAATTCAAGTGTGGAATAATACAATTTTAAAAGTGCAGAAGCTAAAGGCCAAAGGTTAGTACCATGTACAAATGCTCACAACTCCAAGGATCAATGAGGGTGAGAACTAAGTGCAATTTATTACAAACATAGCATGGGGTTAACAATCAAACAAGTATTCTTGAATAAAAGTAACCATTTGACAATATGATAACATGATTAGCAAATATCACATGGCAGCAATCCATCACTAACATATTACCCTCACATCCCGGAAAAACCAGAATAAAGCACCAATTTCTACTTGACAAAGATAGTGCTCAAGAAAAGTGCTACCGTTTATATCCAGACCGTAAATGCTATGGCAGCCACAGTACTATTTTTCACTAGTATAAACAATAAAGTGAGAGAACACAAACATAACACTAGCATTGACTACATAGACAAACGAGAAAGCACAAATTTCAAAGTTGATAGCATATAGTAAGTATTAGTATCTGCAAAAAGAGGAAAGAGTGATTTGTTCTTACAGGTGCCCCGTAAGTCATCATTCCGCCATACTGCAGATCTGGATATGGATATGACGTCAACATCTGCAGAAACAGGCAATTGAATAAATCTTTCAGAATGTAGTAGGCTACCAAATATGGAAAGAATGGAACCGGCAATTTGACTTCACCTGATGACGAGCATCTACACAACCAGCTAGATGTAATTGTGCACATTAAGCTGTGGACAAAGAGAAAGGGAAGAGGGAGGAAAACTTACAGCTGAATGACCTGTGAGTTCCTTCTGCTGCTCACCCATGATGGTGACAGTTGTGGATGTAATATGCTTGAGATGCTGCTTGTATTGCACGTTATTTCCTTTTGATCCTGAAAATGTAAATTACATCACTGATAAAAAGCCACATGCAAATTATGGTTTGGAAAAGGTAAAAGCAAGATAAACATTGTTAGTAGGCGGAGCCATAATAAACAAATAAATAGGCAAATATTCTGCTACGCACATCCTATAGGCATACAAATTTCAAACCAGAGTGAGATGACTCTTGGAACATCGGACCTAAACAACCAAGCTTTAATTGCAACTAGCTGATTTTGCCTCTTTGAATTCTACCTTTGCCTCTGTTGTGGTATACTCTAGCGAAGCCAGCATTGATTCTTAAAGATTGAACTTTGTTTAAACAAATCCATCTACATTTCTAGATGAATCTCGTTCTCTTTTTATCGCATAAATCATCATAGTGTCACACCTATGTACTGATGCATATTGAGATCTATGTACGACATATTCTAACCATCTCGTGCAGACTTTCCCCGTTTTATTCTCTAGGTATGCTACTTGCACCATCTATTGAATGTGATCATTTTAGATCTTGTCCAATCTTATAGTATAAACACATATTAGTCTTAACATTTGAATTTCTAAGGCATTAATCATGTGGATATGATGGGCCTTAGAGGCTCAACATTCATTCCATATAGCATTGCTGATTTTATAACCTGTCACACTTTAATTACATATCTTCCTACCACATAACACTCCTTGACAAGACTCCTTTTCAGCCATCCTATTTTATTATGGGTGTAAGAACTTTATGTAAAAGAAAATTATACTGAAAAGTTCAGCTTGATGTCCCTACTACTAAGATGCGTATTCAAATTCAGACATCTCAATTTTGAAAAGACAAACGCCCCCCAAGTCCCCATACTAGCTGGGACTGTTGCTGCAAGCAGAAAGTTACTCTTGATCTAGTGGTAGTAACTGCTGTTCTTTGCAGCACAAGTGAATATCCTCAGAATATTTTTTCTTTCGTACGTATTTGTTTTTCAATTTCTTTGTCCGGCTTATAATTATTAGTCTTGGACTACATATACATATTTGTATTTTTTTTCTCCCTTGCGCTTTTTTTCATTAAAGCCCACACTTTATTTGTACTTTGTGCTTAAAGCCCCAATGGACCTTAGAGCTTTTTTGCGCTTTTCGCCTATGATAACACTGCTTATCGGAGGAAACTATCATTCACTAAGGTGTTTAGAACCTCATCATCTTTATGGCTATCCCATAGCAGATCTACTAGATCTATCACCATTTACATAAAAGTCAGATAGCTTCCAAGGCTATTGGTTCAGCATCACTAGATTACCGAGTCAGTTCTGAAAGGAACATGTTCAGACAGAACACAAGTTGTAGATGGAGTGCTCCAAATTGTGAAGGTATAATACAAGAAACGGTAGATAGTTAGACCAACCGTGAATAATATGCAAGAAACTCGAACAATTGTCCCTTTCTTTACTATGATAATATCTGGACTACAGCAAAACATAAGAATATACATGGAGGTGGACAATAGTTGCAGAAACACACAGAGTTCGACTAGTTCTAGCTCAAGCTACATTAATCAGCTAAATGTGGTTGCAAGACATAGATTTCTGTGCTTCAACATCAAAATAGAGTACAATTCAGTGACTTCATTTCTAGTTTGGGAACTAACATTATCACCTTCTTTCAGGAATTATCATAAGAAGTCAGCGATGCCGTTGATTCATAAATCAGATGCAGGTAGAAACTAAGGGATGAAACAATCACACTGTAGTATGTAATATGGGAAATACCAGATTCTGTGGCTTGAGCATTTGTTTCTTTTTCCTCATTGCCACCTTCAGCATTCCCCTGGGCAACAGTATTTTCACTGACCAAAGACATCGTATTATCACCATAACCCTGCCACCATGGTTGCATTTGGGTAGTTGATTGTGAAGTAATTCGCAGCCCAGTCTCCAGCTGCCGGTCATCATGTTTAGCAATAGTAGGCATTATTAGACTCTGCTCCAAGTAATTATGATCTACTCAAAAATTTACAGTATAGACTCGGTTAGTAAGAACAGTTGATATCTCACAAAGCTGAATAATAGGAGCAATCCAACTTGGACAGATATCAAAACTCATCTTTTTGTGTCATGTTGAGTTAAAGACAGGAATCTCAAGCAACTACATGCTATCTGAAGCTTTGTCAACCAAATACATTCAATCACTTTAGTTTTTAAGTTTTTTACAACGTGAACTTAGTGTTGAAGCATTTAATAATTCTGGATATGATTTATGTCGGACTAATGTATTACTCTCTTTGTTCCGGTTTACGTGATAACATTTCTTTTTTAGTCCGTTCCAAAGTGAATAGCAGCTTTCTAAATTTGAAAATAATTTAACTTAAACTTTCAATTTTACACTTAATGAGATATATATTCCTATTTCCTGGGTAAGAGCGTGAAGTTAGCTTCTCTTTCAGATAGGATAGGGCATTAGTAGAATGGAATTCCCCTTATGTGGTATCTGAATCCTCCTCACTTCTTTCCTAGCGACTAGTTTCTCAAGGGAGCGGCTTGGTAAGCAAGCTATATTCAGAACGGTAAGTGAACTCTACTAGTTAAGTGGAAATCAAGATGACAAACTGCATAACCCTAAGGAAACCAGATTATGCAGATAAGGTATTAGAAAAGCCAAAAGCACAATCTGATTCACAAATAGGAAAGCTCATCTTTCTCTTTTTCCCCTTTGTTTAGTATTTCTGGTAGTTCTAAGCTTCAAGGTTTCAATCATGTCATATATTGGCTTTACAAACTATGGTTTACAAACTATGGTTCATTAACAGAGACTGTTTGAGTGGTAAACAAAAGATCTAACTACTTTACCTGCAATTAAACACAGCTTAAAATGATTGCATCTTAACACACCTAAACCTCAATTCCAATAAAAGAATTATCAACTAAGCATTAGAATTTCCCAGCAGTATGAAAAAACAATGATTTACATGATCCCAACAATACATCAACTCAAATGTTCTCATTGTTGTAACCTTTGTTAAGCATTAAAGTTCACCATTAAAATCACCAAGAAAAAAAACCCAACAATCAAATGAACACTAAGAATGCATAAATCAACCATTTTGCTCAGAAAAAACAGAAACCAAACAACAAGACAAATCCAATTTCCATTAACCATACTTCCCCTAATCATATTTCTTTCACTCAAAATTCAAACTTTTACCAATCAGAGCTCAACGACAAAAACTTTACCAATACATGAATTGGTTAGAGAAAAAAAATCCATTACCAATTAGAAGTGACCCAATTTAAAAACCCCAATTGGATATTCAAGAAAATATGGGAATTTAAAAATTGAAAAATAAAAACACATAAAGAGGAAACTTGCCTTCTTCTCTGGGGATGAGAGTACTTAAAGAAAGCTCAGAAATCTCACTTGTGTCTATACATACATTTAGAAAGCTAAAAAGCAATTTTTTGATAGCTAAATATTTTAAAGAGGATTATACATGCATCTATATATAGAATATATGTAGGCCTATATGTATAATTTATAATATAATTATGGAGAGAAAGTGGGAGTGGAGGGTGAGAGATTTCACTCTGTTCTTTCTTCTTTGTGGTCTTTTTTGTGGGGTTTTGGATTTTGGAATTTATGTATGTGTCACGCCAAAGTCGCTTTCCATGTCTCTGTTAAGGAAAAACTTTAGCTAATTCTGATTATTTACATTTTATTATGTTGTTGTGTGGTTGAATGACTAAAATGCCTTTGGCGGTAAACTGAAATACCTAACACACTTTTTTGGAACTTCTTAGACTTGGACTGGTTATAATGAATAATGAAAATAGAAAGAGGTTTTTAGGACCACTTACCAAACTTGTGGTTTAGTTAAAGTAACTCACACTTTTTCTTTTTGATGAAAATGATAATTATGCTAGTTTTTGCTAGCTAAATTTTCATAGGAATCCAACTTAAAGCTTTTCTTTTTTTAAATTTGAGTTCTCATAATAACTATAAAGATGATTTTGTTTGATTTACGTGTAAAAAATAAAAAGGTAAAAGAATCACTCGACATAATAAAAAAGTGACGATATTCTACTATTTTGCCTTAACAATGTTTAAAATACTTTATAAATTATAAGTATATAAGGTAAAAGAATCACTCGACATAATAAAAAAATAATGATATTGTACTATTTTGCTTTAATAATGTTTAAAATACTTTATAAATTATAAGTATATAGTAATTGTTAATAAATTATATGTAGTAATTGTTAAGAATGATTTTTTTGACATTTACCGTCAAACTCATAATACATCTCATTTTAAGAGTTTGAATTCAATCAAGACTCATAACGTACAATAACTCCGGTTAATATTTTGTTTTTTCATTGGAAAGGACAAAAATCATTACAAATTTGTTAACATAAAGGGCTAATTATTATGCCTACTCTTATGAGTATGTAAAATCGTTTTGAGCAAACCTCCAATGAGCTCATTTTAGGATATTTCTCATTCTTCCATTATTCACCTTTAAGTTTCTTATGTTAATGTATTAAATATCTATTTTATAATTTTAAAGTCAACCAAAGAAAAACAGTAAAAGAGATTCGAAGCCATCCTTATCTTTTATTTTTCATTTATGATAATAATAAAAAATGGAGTAGCTTGTTTTGTCAACGGATGGTGTCCATGATATTGGAGTGCATGACTTATCTTGAAAATCTAAATTAATATTCTTTTAACTAATTCTTTTCTTGATAAAATTAAAGTCAAATCCACTTAAGAGGATAATCATACAGAACAATAGAATCATACTTTTTCACAAAACATGATACAATTATATAAAGTGCTAGTTACAACAAAAATCTAGTGTAAGTTAGGTCCGGGGACGATAATATATACGCAATTTTATTCATATCTTGTGAAGGTATAAATTAAATATCGTTATAAAAAAGCCATGAATAGGATTAAGGTATTCTTTTATTTAATAATTTTCTTACATGGTAAACAAAATTTGATAAAAATCACACTTGTCATTTTACCCTTTTCGTTTTACTAGTATTATCCACTGGCCGCCCTCCCATATAAAATTTGTCCACTAAAATAGATTAGTACAAACCACATTAACAAAGATGTGATGAACTTTATTTATGCCAAAAGACTCGGTTATCCAATGCTATTTGGAGTTACTCATATCAATCTATTTAATTTGCTACACTTTTTTCCGAAAGTGCACGTTGACATTCCCTACATCTTATATGATATTTCTGTCAAAGTTAAAATTTTGAATATTCAAATAATAAATATTTTTACTATTATCCATTAGCCGGCCTAAAATAAAAGTTTGTCCGCCAAAGTAATAGTCTATTGGTCATAAAATTACAAAGAGAGCAACAAAGGATTATGGTGAAACGGATAGGATCTTTTTACCCTTGATTAAAGGTATAGGCTTTGAGCCTTAAGGAACGCTTCCTTCTTTAATGGACGTTACACGATGTCAAATTTGAATTAATCGAAGTCCTAATGTAAATATCAAATACCGAATATAAAAAAAGCTAAAAAGATAAAGGAAGAGATAGTAAGGTGGCTATAAGCTAACTATAAAGATGTGTTGATCTTTAATATACCAAAAGTACTCAAAACCACCCAATGCTTTTGTACTTACTCATCTCTGTCTAGACTGCTACACTTTCTTTTATCAAAAGTGCATATATATACATTGGAAAATTAGTTGTTTGAGTTTTGATAATCTTCATTCATATTGAGCATTTTTCAATTGCTAAGTCAATCAAGTAAACTATATGATGTGGAAAAAATAGCTATATCGAGTGGAATATGATAGATGGATGAGTTTTTGACCAAGTAATAAAAAATAAAAAAAAGACACAATAAAGGAACAAGCTAACCTATGTTAAACCCCTAAAATGACATAAACACTTTCTATTAGTTACTTGTCCTTTTTGGCTTAATCCTAAAATTTCACGGCAAGTAACTTCTCTATAACATATAATCAGGAATGGAGCTAGAGTTCAAGTTACGCATTCGATAAAATTCAATAATTTTAAGTCAAAAAATTATTTAGTATATATAAATAATTTATTCATAATTCAGTAAATTAATTTTCTAAATTAAAAATCTATAAATTTAAAATTCTGAATTTACATCAACGTTAATCAAATGATAAATCCTTGGTGAGTGATGTTGAATTGGACAATGAGATTACTTCTCCATACAAAAAGTCACCACTCACCAAAAAATCCTTAAGTCCCCACCTTTAGTTCCAAAACTTTGGAGCTAAGGTCAATCTCGTAATTAAGCCACATCAAGAGTGGCAAACTAGTCAAAACAATAGTATCATAAGCATGATTAGTAATCAAAGACCATGCTTAATTAATTAATGGGCATTTGAAAAGCAGTGAGGCCACCTTTTTGTTGGAGGCAACAACGTGTCAGGCCCGTAATGAAATGAGCTTGCTTTGTGGGGTCCACTGTTTGGTGTTGGATACGTGGTTCATTCAGCTAAAAGCAACAGTTAATGGTGTTGGTGGAGGATTTAACGGCGTGGTCGCCGTTTAGTAGACGGCGTTTTGTCGTGGTCCTAGGTAGCATCATCGGCAGTCACATGAGTCGCACGTGACAACAGGCGGCTTTCACTGTTAGTAGGACACGTGGTCGGACATTGTAAGTGTTGAAGAATCGGACAGCTCATTCCTCGTCAATAATATTGTGGAATATACCCAAATTCGAAGTGAGAAGTTCATTTTCGAGAAAAATGTTTAATTTGGCTCCGGACAATTAAGATCCCTTTTGGACATTAAATTTTTTTTCCCTTTTAAAAAAAAAAAACTATTTTTTTTCGAAATCAACATTTATTAATAAAATTTTCAGTTTTCACTTTAAAATTTTCAAATATCATTTTCACTTTAAAATTTTTTTTACCCCTATTTTAGAATTTTACAATTCTTATATCCAAACGCCCACTAAATATTGAGCAACTTAACCTTCGTTAAACTTTTGTCAAATATTGCACTTTTCAATTGAAAAAAGATAAATCGTTATAATGGGCGTGCTAATCGTTATTAGAAGTAAGTTCACAACAAGAGGGAAAATCGTGCTAATCCTTTACATAAATTTGTCGCTACTGTAGCTTTCTGAAAATTGTACTGTCCTTTGAAAGAATTTTCAACCTTGCTTGTGGACGATTGAAAGAAAATCAGTAAGGAAGTAGACCCTCCTGCTGGCCAAGGAATTTTGCATTGACATTCAATATTAGAAGATGGTAGCACACTGTAACTTGTGGTAATTCCCTACTTGACACTTAAATATCAATTTTAAGAATGTAACAGGCAGTCGAATTGTTTAAAATGATGGTCTCCCTATATGCTATTCCTTGGAATATCTTATGGTGATTTATAATATTTGCTGGTTGTAAAAGCCTATGGGTATCGAGCCTTTGAGTTGTTTAAAGAATTCCTCATGTTAGAAATCATTCTTGACGAAATTCCTACATAAATATATTCATTGTTCAACACAGAAAGGGGAATCTGGGAATTGTTAACAGTGGACTTGTGAATGTGTGCAATACAAAGGATTTATTCTTCTTGGTGGGTCTCATTTGAACGACTAGCTACCTATTTAATCATATTATTTGTTTTTATTCCAAACACAATCAGAGATCCGGGACTCACTTTAGGAAAGGATTTATTTCTCCTCAAAGTAGGTGTTTGCTCCACATAACGAACAGGTCGAGGTCGAGGGGCCCCACTACTAAGCAAGGGTCAACATTTTAAGCGGGGGCCTCTGTCAACATACTTTTATCTTATGTGCCTACCTATTCAGCCAAGAGCTTTAGATCTTCTTACTACAAGATATTTTCAAGAGCTTTCGAAAGTTTCATCATCCAGTTCAACAAGGTTCTTTTACCAGATGTCCCGCACAAATAGGTTACTGAGAAGAATCAGTCTGGTGTTTCAGTTTTGGGCTGAAAGAGTGTAAAAAGAGTTTGTGAGCTTACCTACAATGATTGAGGAGCTGCTACAATCGAGTATGTTGGAAAGCTACCATTTCAAACCAGGCTCAATTGAAAATGGAACTTTCTGGTTCGGCTGAGAAATACATTGCACTAAACAACTAGGCCTCTAAGAAAGCATCGATTTAAAACTTCTCCCCAAGAGGAGAGCACTAAACAACTAGGCCTCTAAGAAAGCATCGATTCAAATTTGATGTTCCAACTTACGACTATGGATGAATAAAAGTTGAACATGGAAAATTGTTCGAATCGATAAGATGTGGATTTCGAATGCTACATGCTACTTTTTAACCAGAGTGGATGAGGTCCTTTGCTTTTTTTGGTTGAAAAGAGGTCCAAATTGTAAAAAAAACTATAAATTTGACATTTCTAGATACAATCTTCAAGATCAGGATGGTCAGAAAGGGAGCAAAAGCTACACTTTTCCAACAAGAGAAAGGAACTTAAATGCAGGAAAACAAAATACAAATGCTGCTACTATGGAAAGAAAGTACAAAAGCTGCTACTATCTGGTTGGGAAGAGGTCCAAATTGTTGAAGATAGATTTGGAATTTCTTTGTGGAATGTTCCAGATCAGGTATCAGAAGGCTGATTTTCTATGCTTCCTCAGAAAAGCAGTCGATATGAAAACCCTGAGTAGAATCCACACTTAGGTCCTCTTTTGAGACAGACTTTGACAAGAATTTTCCAGCACAAAAATTCCGGTAAGGGCGATTCACAGGAGGCAGTAGCATTGCAGACTCTTTGTCCATTGATAGTAGCCGGCTACACTTGCTGCAAACTTTTGAGAACAAAGTTTGGTAACTGCAGACCCAGAGCAGCAAAGAAAGCAAGGCTGTCTCGGTACCGACACCTGTAAAATGCTGTAAAGCCATAGCAGCATGCTCCGTGATGTGCCTAAATACATGATGAACTGAAAATCCCCTCGCATGTACATAGCTACCACCCTCGTCTGGCGAGAAGAATGCTACAGCATCAGGATCCAATGAACCGGCAGGGGAAACTGATACTATGGCTCTAAAAACAGAAGGTATCAACAATTCGATTATAGCAACCTTGTCTGGAACAACATCATCAGATGATCCTTGTCTTAACGTTGTCGTGCTTTGGAAAGTATTATCTTTCGATAATTCAATAGAATTTTCACTGGTCGAAGAGGGCAACGAGGTAGACCGCTTTAACCAATCCAAACGCTGGTAGGAGAAAGTTGTTACATTTGGAACCTCCTTTTTCAGATGTGTCAAAACTTCAGACACTGTTTCCAGTTCACAAGTTTCTTCTTGATCACTTGACGGAGGACCACAAAGTTTCTTTGTAGCACCCTCCTCACCAGCATTGGTGAGGAGGTGTGGGAAAAATCGTCGTTTCTGATCATTAAAGGCCTTGAGGGCTAACCTGGTCCTATCAACTGCAGATGCACCAGCCTGACCAGCAAGTTGTCTCTTCCATGCATACGCAACAACAGCACCATCGGGACAAACCAAGGGCATGTGGAGGCCCCACGAATTACTTCGTGATCGAAGGGAATCATCGAGGACACCAGAATCTTCCAACTGCCTTCCAACAGAGCGAAGGTCTTGTAGGTGTTGTCTCATAGAAGCTTCTTCTTTGAGGATAAGATGCAAAGGTTTAGAAGAGTGTTGTGGCTGAGCCGCCACAAATAGGGCTTCCAGAAGCCGATCTGCGCCAAGTCTGATATCAGCTATGAGTCTACTCGCCTGCCCCAGACGCTCCAGTGCCATTGCCACCTGCTTCGGTGGCGCATCTCTACTTGCCTGGCTGGACTCTGCCCCTGAAGCTCCTGGTCCCGCCGACGTGTGTGGTTGTGGTGTTGGTTGCTGCATTTTTGTATGTCTGAACCTTGGGAGGTTTTAATGTTGGCGATTATAGCCCCCGTGGATGAGGTGTTCTATTTTTGTTTTTATAAAAGGAGAAGTGAGTGAGAGTCAACCTTAACCAGTAACCATAAAAACCAGTTCAAAACCTACATTTCATTAAATCATATTTCAAAAGTTTCAATGGTCACCTCAACACAACTCATTTTGTCACCACTTGGGCTCAAACATGCAAGTAATGTCTGATATCGTGCTTCAGAGCTAAAATTCTGACCAAGTGCCCCATAAAACTAGGAACATGTACATAAAGTAGTGAAACAAAACAAAAATTAACCAAAGCAGCAAGCTAGGAGGATGTGCGAGTGACTGTAGCCTCCTTTTCCACTTTGAAGAAGGAGACTGTTCATCACTCAACTTTATAAGACAACTGGATACAGCAAACAATCACTCAGTATTTTCTGTAATCCTTCTGTCCAATTGTACGGTATCAACAAAATACTCCCAGGATGGGAATGCAAACGATTTTTACAGCTATTGCATATTCCAAAAGATAACAGTAAGAGGCTGTCCGAGTGATTGTAGCCTCCTTTTCCACTTTGAAGAAGGAGACTGTTCATCACTCATGTATTGTCGGAAAACAGGATACAACAAACAATCACTTGATATTTTCTGCATTCCTTTTTGTCCAATAGCATTGTACGAACAAAAGACCCACAAAGTGGAAAAGCAAAGAATTCCTACAGCTATTCCATATTCCACAAAATTATGCAGCGGCGCAAAGAGGATGTGTGAGTGTAGCTTCATTTTCCACTTTGAAGGAAAATGTTCATCACTCACATGTTGTAGGGCAACAATATACAGCAAACAATCACTCAATATCTTCCGTAATCATTTTTTACCAGACTATAGGGGATTTGATGTGAGCTATCCATCTTGATATGCAATCACAGCAAAGTTTGCGAAGTACATATATTGTTTAAGTTAAATGGGGAAAGGATTTTCCTTGTCTATCAAAAAAAGTAGCAATGATGGGAATAATGTCTTCGAAGTTTCAATGCTTTGTGATTCAGGAAAGTCTCTCCGTCGAGACAGGAATTTTCTAGCTTTTACTGATGTAGATTGATAAATGGAATCCACTATACTGCTGTTTTATAAAGCTTATACAGCGAAGTTCTTTCACAAAGGAAAGAGAATGTGTCGTATATCTTTTTTTATCCTATATCCTTTTCACTCCATCCTATTGCTCATTGTGGAAGACTATCTTCAAAAGTTTGGAGAACTGTAGTGCAGAAGAAGCCAAGGTATCCTCGATACTGTAGATTGAAAATATTAAACTTTCTAAAACAGTTCTCCTATTTTAATGATAAACAGTGAAAGTATTTGGTTGACCAAATAAAAGACGATAAATATTGAAAAATAGTTAAAGTCCCACAACAGCAGCCAAAACCAACACCCCAGAGCACATCTGGAAAATATACTAATTCATGTCAAACTGGTTGTGAAACAACATTGACAAGAAAGTGAATTGTGGACAACCAAAGAGGAAAACACATTAGAAGAGATAGAAACCTAAGTTTCTTAGGTTTTTGGGAGGATGAAACAACTATAAAGAAATGTATAAAGAGAGAAACATTCAGAAATGACTAAAAAGCATCACCACAGAAAACACACAAGCCTTTCTAGGTGGACGGACTTCCAGAATAATTACTCAATTAGAATTATTTCCAATTCCTGCTACAGAAACAACTCTCCCCATCTAATACTAATGTAGTTGTATCTTCTAGTCTATCAAAACTTCACACCTTCAACATTACAGCTCCGACTCAGCAAATCCTTCATTCACTTTCCACCCAGTGAATGCTAATCGTAAGCAATGCAGAAGGCAAGGGATGAGATGATGTGTAATGGTGCCTCGGGTTGGAGGCAAGGAGAAAGGTCAAAGCATGAATGACCAGAGCTTATGTCCCGAATTTTTTTTAGGCAATCTGGGCTCGGGCACACGGCGGAAGGCATGTGCTATAGCACACAAACATATGGGAATTAGGTGGAATTCTAGTTTTATGTCCGTTAAACGCCAAAAAATAAGGAATTGTTATAGAGGGGCTGTGACTGTGGTTCCTTAGGTTGTATTTGATGTCCCGGAAAAATTTCATAGCCTCCTATCTCATTAGAAGGAGAAAGAAAGGACTATGAATCACCAGAAGCCACCAAGAAGAGATAAACTATAAGTTATAACTTGCACTTGTTTTCCTACCTTTACTTGATAAAAAAAAAGGTGCACGCGTTGTTGGCTTCCACTGGTAGGCCATCCAACTTATTGTTATCTTTCTAAACAAATGTGACTTCTTCTCGAACAACAAACCATAAATGAGTATACAAAGTCAAGAGAACAATGACGTTATATTTGTCTAAATTCAGAACATGTCTATATTCATTGAACTTAAGTAGCTACAGAAAGTTTATAGGATAAGATAAGATAGTATTTTTTTAATTTTATTATGGGTATTACTGTCCTATCACATGAATGTAGTATATTAGGAATGTGGAGACAAGCTTAGTTTAATAGAAGAAGTAGCAGTCAACGGGTAACCAAATACAAATAAATTCGCCTCTTAACAGAATAAAGAGAATACACAAGCTTTTCTAAGCAAAGGAACATTCAAGAAAACAACACCCAGCAAGGATATGACAATAAGGAACAACTGAACTCTTCCCATCTAGTACAAGTTGGCTTATAGTTTTTAGTCTATCACAAAGTTCCTAATTTCCACATCAGCACTCCAACAAACAAATCCCAGATGTGCTGTCCATCCACTTAACCGCCACTCATAAGCAACATGACAGGGGTGAGATAATGTGCACGGCACTCTGGGGTAGGGACCAAAAGAGAAGCAACAGGTTTAAATGGTCATAGATTACGATTAGTACCTTCTGTAAAAATGACTAAATAGAGATGTAGGGTTATCATAGCCTGCATTCTCATCGGGAAGAGAAAGTAAGGGACTATGAATCACCACAAGATGTAGGATACCAAGGAGAAACAAACTAATAGGTTATCGTTTGCATGTCTTCTTGGTGTCCAATGTTTAAAGAAAATTAAAAAAAAAACACCAGGGAAGGCACAAAAAAGCACAAGCAATCCACTTAACAGTCCAAAAGTTCATAAGCATAAAAAAGCTTGTCCTAGATGTGATGTGCATCCACTTAACTGCCAATCATCAGCAATATGACCGGGATGAGACAATGTGCATGGCACTCTGGGTAGCGGCCAAAAGAGAGGTAAATGATCATAGAGATGTAGGACTATCGTTTTTTAATAACCAGAGATGTAGGGCTATCGTAGCCTACATTCTCATTGGAGGAGAAAGTAGGGGACTGTGAATCACCACAATATTTAGGATACCAAGGAGAAACAAAGTAATAGGTTATAATTTGCATGTCTTCTTGGTGTCCATTGTTTAAAGAATATAAAAAAAGCCATCAAACTTTCCTGAACCACACAAAGGACATAACTTGGTCCCACAGAAACCAAAAATGGGTATATAATTGTATAGAGGTGTTAGCTTTAATGCACCTCCTGAGATTAGACTATTTTGATGTCCATCACTAGAGTGTGCAGTCTGAAGGTTGATTCCCATGCAATATATTCTGTTTGGGTATATGTTGTCAAAGGCTCATTTGAGGCGCGCTTAAGCCCTAAAGCTCAAAAAAGCTCAGGGTATGCGCTTCACCTCACTTAGGTTGCGCTTTAGTGTATGCAAGGTACTAAGGCCCACGCCTTATTGCCCAATAAGTTCTATCTTGAATAGAGTGGTACAAAGATATTGGTTAAAAGATATTATTAATTTTTAAGGAAATCATTATGAGTGAAATTGTTAGCTTTTTTTCTTGCATTACATATATACTTTTATTTTTTTTCTTCGTTGCGCCTTTTCTAACTAAAGCCCACACTTTAATTGCGCTTTGCGCTTAAAGCCCTAATAGACCTGGATCGCTTTTTAGCGCTTTTCACCTTTGACAACACTAAAACTGAGCTGTTCAAGGTAGGAGGAAGCCGCCAGTCATTAGCTTATCTATAAATAAGCAATTCAAAGTTAGAAAATGGGTATTGGGCAATGTTGCCTTCCTACTCATCCTATGCAGCAAAAAGGGGAAAATGAATCGCCACCGATACTCGTTTGTCACCAGGAAGAAACAGATGAGCTATTAAATGCTTATGTCATTCTTCACTAATGGTCAAGAGCTTGCTAGGCTTTTAACCTCCCTGTGACCATGATCAATAACCCAACAAAAAGTTTACTAGAGCAAATTCTGACTGGATAATTCCAAAGTGATTCGAAGATGACACACTAGGTAACTAAAGTTCCCCTATCAATGTGTATCACTGCCGACACTGAAAACTTCTGCTAAATATCTATTCATTGCAGGATGCATATCTGCATCTGCAGGAACTAGCTGATCTTTTTAACAAAGTAATCTTTTCTTTGGCAACTTTGTGCATAAGGAAATTACACCAGACACAAATGAGTGAAAGCAATTAAGAAAGGTGGAGGCGGACAGACACGGACTAAAGAATACTCCAGGTTTCCTCTTTTCCCCGATAAATCTAAAAAGCTAATCGGGCTAGTATTAGGTTTAAGCAAACCCCTCAGAGAACTTGCCCCACCATCCTTGCAGGAAAAAAAATTAAAAGGAAAACTATGAAATTTTTTGTATTTCAAGTATTTATCACTGAATTCAAGTCTCTTCATAAAACAAATCACTGAATTCAAGTCTCATCGGTCAATAAGGGATTCAGCAGAAAATTTCATGCATATTTTCCCCGACCATAAAGTTGACTGCTTGGGCAATATAAGTAATATAATAAGTAGGCGCTGAGCATAATGTTGATGTTTTTTTATCAGACAAGTAAATGTTATTCAGTAAAAAAACAGCTTAGTGCAGTAGAGCATAATCTTGATGCCACAAGCAATATCTAGGCCAATACACTTTATGTTGTAATCCATTTTTATCAAAATAATAGCAAGTCATTCAAATAGTTCAGATGATGAGGGGTAGCTACTCATGATACAAACTGCAATACGCATATTCCAACCTACAAAGTCACCAATGTCACGGGAAATATTTTTAAAAAAAAATAGAATTCGTGAGCGTCACCTTATGATTATCCCCGTGTACATGTAGAGAATGTTTCTTTATCAAAGATGGCCTGCTTGAGAGAACTTAAAGAAGTCTTCTTCTCTTTTTCTTGATTAATAGTGTAAATATCACTCTAGATCTGTCTAAACTCTAAAAGGAAGAGGATGAAAGCTTAAATCAAACTGTGAAGAGGAACTAAGGGACACGCTACACAGAGGAGCGTCAACCAGGGTTTGAGGAAAAGCCCATACCTAAATACTTACACTATTTTGTAAGTCGGCCTCTTTATTTCGTCTTTTCTCAATCTCTTTAAACGTCTCTAACCCTTAAGCATACTCGAGAATAGTGTCCATGAAAAGAATATTTTAAATTAAAAATAGTTTAAATTAATTAATTATGAATTTTAAAAGGGGAAATAGTAAAAGAAATGGAGGAAAGTTGTAACCTTTACCTAAATCGGAGTAGTGGACGGCGGCGATGAGCTGAGGAATCAGTAATATGGCAGATGACGGAGGTTGATTTGGGAATTTCGGACCATCGTGGCTGATTTTCGAAACCCTAATGCGATGTTCACAGAGAAGTAGAAATTAGAGTCTTAACCCGTTTTTGAGTTGTTTACTATTCCCCGTTTCAACCGGTTTGTTTTGGTTTAGCTTTTCGAAAATGGTTTTTCATAAATACTGCCTTGCTCGTCGCGTTCGCATATTTTATCCTTTTAATTTAAAATAGAGTTACTATAGGACAAAATAGTCTTTTAATTATTTTTTTAATATTTAAGAATACAAATCAATTAAAATTTGAAATTTTCCTTGTTTGAACTATCTAAAAAAATTTAATATTTAGAAATTTAAAATTTTGTAAGATTTAACTATATATAAAAAAATTCTATATTTGATTGATATACAACTTCTTCCTTAAAGTTTGCACATTTAATTTTGCTTTTTTCCCGACAAAGGAAATCTTCTACTTTCTTTTATTTCTTAAGGTACAAAGCTTACGGGCACATACCCACATACAAATGCATTACCTATTATGAAATTATTATATTGTGGATATTCATTCATTACTCCGCTATAGATAATCTTCCTGAAAAAGATTATCCATTTAGTACTCTGTTGAAGTTTATCTACAAGCAGCTGATGCAGGCAGGTTGCAAGCAACTCAATGAAATAATTTGCAGCAACTTCTTATTAAACAGGCAGGTTGCAAGCTATTAGCCCAAACAATTCGATTAAGGATGTAATTCCCAGATTATCCTATATAGGTTATTCGCCTTGATAATCCTGGAGAATTCTCATCTCAATCTTTTGATGATTACTGTCTATCAGTTGGGATAAAAGTTGAACATCCTGTAGCTTATGTTCATACTCAAAATGGCATTGCAGAGTTATTTATTAAACGCCTGCAATTGATAGCAAGACCACTACTTATGAAAATAAAATTGCCCACTACTGTTTGGGATCATGCTATCTTGCATCCAGCATCACTTATCCGTCTCAGACCGACACATTATAATAAATATTCTCCGTCACAATTAGTTTTTGGTCATGAACCAGATATTGCCCATCTATGAATTTTTGGATATGATGTATATGTGCCAGTAGCACCACCACAGCAAAGTAAGATGGGCCCACAGAGAAGGTTAGGAATATATGTTGGGTTTGAATCACCCTCTATTATTCGCTATCTTGAACCATTGACGGGAGATTTATTTACTGCTCGATTTGCAGATTGTCGGTTTGATGAAATAAATTTCCCACAATTAGGGGGAGAGATAAAGGAAATCAAAGGAGAAATTGTGTAGAAAATTTTATCATTATCTTATTTTGATCCACGTACCCCTATATGTAATCAGGAGGTCCAGAAGATCATCAATTTATAAAATATAGCAAATCAAATGCCATATGCGTTTACTGATTTGAAAAGGATAACTAAGTCACATATCCCTGTAGAGAATGTGCCTATACGAATTAATGTTCCAGCAGGACCATCTACTGGCATGAGAACTAGTGAACCTAAAGTACGCTTGAAGCGTGGTATGCATTTGGGTTCTAAGGATCAAAATTCTCGAAAAATAAAATCGACAAATGATCAAAACGATACTATAAAGGGATCCCCTGAAGAGACCTAAGATCTGATTAGTTATGAGATTCCTGAAGAAATCACTGAACCCGAGACTCAAGTGAGCAAGGAACTTTTAATAAGTTCTACTAGTGATGGGATTAATTTAAATGGATCTGAAATAGTCGTGGATAATATTTTTGCTTATAATGTTACACTTAACATTATGCAAGATAGTGAGGATTTTGAACCCCGATCTGTCGAATAATGTCGACAAAGATCTGATTGGCCAAAATGGTAAGGGATAATTCAATCAGAATTGAACGCACTTGCTAAAAGAGAGATCTTTGGACCAGTAGTCCAAACACCTGCTGGTATAAAACCAGTTGGTTATAAATGTTTTTTTGTGTGAAAAATGAATGAGAAAAATGAAGTTGAAAGATACAAGGCTCGTGTTATTTGCCAGCTTGTGTTAGGCTTGTCAACTTTCCATATTGAACATTTCTTATTAGCAATGCTTATGCTTGTTCAGTTTATTTGTTTATATTCATAGTTAGTAGATTATTATCAAGTTTAGTGATGATTGGCACTTAGTGTCGATTATACGCCGCGGCCCTAGGCTGGGTCGTGGCAATAACCTGGCAGATTATATATTACTCTATTTCGAGGGTTTGGTTCATTTTAACATAATTTGAGTCGTAGAGCTCGATTTTGGGTGATTTTTGAAGGGATTTTCACGGTTTGGACCGGGGTAAGTGTTTTCGACTTGAAATTTTCAATTATTCATAATTCTATCATTGTTTTTATTATTCAATTAGTGATTTGTGTTTGGAGAAATGGGGGGGGGG